GAAAGAACAGAGATTTATCATGATGTATTTGAGCTCAAAGACCATTGGTTTTGTTGATTTCAATCCTAGGTTCTAGTGAAAAATAGTGCATGATGCTCCTTGTTATGAAACCTGAAACATATGCCAATGATGTCTTTATACTCTGTGGATACAAAAGAAAATTGTCAAGAGTGCATTTTTCACATGGAAATAATTATTATTGATTGATTATTGATGTTTTGACAAAATGCATGATGATTTCCCTTTGGAGAAAAACAGGCTATTTAAATTTAAACTACAAGAGTTTTGGTTCAGTGACTGGTTCTACTCTGCTTCCCAATAAGTAATGTTAATTAGCTTCTTAGTCCGCAGAGAAACATAGTAACTCAAGAAAATTAGACCTTAAATGATTGGAAATGAGCAAGTCAAGATTATGGCATTTGCAAAGGCGAAGAAAGAGAAAATGAGCAAGTCATGTCTGTGCGAGACAGAGGTAGAGCTGCTCAGATTGCATTTTGTGCGAGGGAGGATAAAAAAACCTGCATGAAAAAAGGAAGAAGAGAGCAAAGACGGATGAGACACAGGAAGAGAGAAATAAGGGTGAGGGAGAGCGTGAGAGAAAATATAGGTAACAACACGTTCACCGTGGTAGAAATAAAATTCTCAATATCTGCACACACATATTGCACTCACAGACTCTCGAACACACACCATACACACACGCACACACACACACACCTGCAGCTCTCTCCCAGCGGGTGGCACTGTGTAATTTGGCACATCCATTTCCTAGGCTGGGTTTGTCTTCAGTGCTGTTGAAGCAGTCACAAACCCCATCGGGGTATTCCAGCCAATCTTTGAATGATGTCACTTTCGAAACACACTCACTGAACTGCAAACAAATCTTGACTGTGGAAAAGTGTCTGGCTCATAACTGTCCAATTTTTCTACTGGTGGTGACTCTTGTCACAGGAAGTTTGGACTAATTTCATCGGGCCATCAGGTGTCTGATTGCTAAAGGAGTTTGACCCCGTTTTCTCTCACTGCACAACACTACTGCACTTTCCATGGTCTTCCCCTTTGGTCCGGCACTTAATTATGTGGCTCTTCACAGGGCCATGTATCCCAAACTGTGTCCCTGAGGCCACCAGGTCTACCCCTGCCAATACTCAGTGACATCTGTTCTGCTTTACCGGCATATGGAAAATTACATGGCAAAAAACAAGTTGCCCTCCCATGACATTTCTTCCCTTTGATAGTTCACTCTCAACTTCACCACTCAATTTTAGCCCTGTGCCACTGTATGTGTATGTGCATGTGTGTGTGTTTGTCGGAGCCAGTGGAAACTGACCTCCCACCACTGCAGATGGATCAGAAGAGGGGACAGTCTACTTTAATTCAGATCGTGTCTTAAAGGGTCAGTTCACCCAAATTACAGACAAACAAATCAGGAGGTTTCAGCCACATCTTATGGGCCTCAGCAGCGGATTGCTTTTGCGTCTGATAAATAATAAATAATTACTGAATGAAATGGTGGATGAAAAAGTTTGTGGTGCTAACAACATTACAATTATTGGTTTGATAACACTGACATATTCTCACCTTTTCAGTTGACATGGCAAACTTGTTAGCTAAACAGTTGCTTATTTACACATTCAGCAGATACGGAACAACTTTAGCATTATTTTTCACTCACTTCATGATAAATGCTTCCCTATGTTCACCAGCTAAGCCTTATTTTGTCTGTCTGCCCTCTGTACTCTGCCTGTCCTATACCAGACATGTGGCGTACAGTGGATTAGAGCCTTTATGCTACAAAAACCTGCGCTATGAGAGTGGTGAAATGAAGGAAAGCCAAACCAAAACAATGAGCTAAAAGATGCTAAAAATGCTCTGTAGAGCTGATGAGGACTGCAGAGTCTATGAGCAACCCCTTTTGAACTAGTAATTTAAACCATTGTCAGAATAAAAATACTGATTAAATCAGCTTTAAAGAATTCAATAGCAACTTGTCTTTTCCACCGCCTCTTTTGTTGGACTACTTTCAACCAAATAAATAGTCCCTAACAAAAGTTAGAGGAGAGTGTTCTCTGGATTGTCTGTTGTAACAAGGATGTTTTTTATTTTTCTGGTAATAGTTGTCATATTTTTGGACTTGTGAAATGAAATTCCATTCACTTTCATTGTATTGGCGAGGCTGCAGAAAAAGAAACAACTTTCTTAAAACCTTGACAAATAAAACCAGAACTATCAGCATGGTTAGATGCCACAATAGGTAAGTTATGATAAAAAAAACAAAACAAAAATGTTTTTAGGTAATTTGGGTGAATCAAATCTTTAAGGACACATTCCATTAAGAACAGCTCACATGTACTTCAGGAGTGTTTAAAAAAATAATTTTGCGCCCATCTTATGCCAGAAAACAAAGTACCACTGATATTATTGCTACTGAAACAAGTCTAACTATTTGCATAGTCTACTCCTAACACAAGCACAAGCACAGAGACATTATTAAACATTTCTGTATGTATCAGACAGCTCCAGGTAGAAACCAACTGCTTGTTTCATTCTTAGTGGCTGTGGCTCAGTTGAAGAGGGTGACTGATTAGGAGGTGAGCCCCATATAAGGCAGGATGAGCAAAAACAAGATGACTCATATAGATCAGTCTCCCAGCAATTTGCCTCAAATAACCCCTTCTCTCTTTCTTCTACTGGCAGGATCAGTGATGAGCTGACCAGACTGTGCTTCTTGCTCTGCTGCATCTCCAATCATTAAATACTAGGGGAAGTTGTAATGGAATACTTCATAAAAATGTTAAGGTCTATGTGCATGAAGTATCTAAGAATGGTAAAACACTGATCTGGGATCACTGGTCAGGTCGCATTACTGTACAGCGCTGTAACGCAAGAGACAATCTGTACTATGCCAAGATATTTAATGAAAATTGTCAGTTTTACTTGCAGAATCAATAACTCCAGTTTTCTCCCCAAGAATAACATATAATAGAATGCAATGTGAGTACATCAAGGCAATCTTTTCACAATCTCCCATTGCTGCAGCACTACTTTGCATGAATTACAGCAAAATCTGGAGTTACGCACGCAGATAGGCTCCAAGCTGTTAGCCTGTTTTTCTCAAAGGTTTCAGTGAGAGAAAAGGACAGAGGGAGGAGGAGGGGAGAGAGGAGGGGGGAGGTAGACAGGAAGTCCTGGGGGGAGACTTGCACTTGCTGCAAGAATATTTCTTTTTTAACTCATTCAAAATGGAAATAATAAAAAGTCATAAAAAAGAGGAAAATAACTTTGATCAAGCGAGAAAAAAAGTTTTGTGAAACTTTATATTCTTCATTTTTTACAGTTTTAATTTGGCACATGGCACAATCAGCATGTATGCATCTGGTATACATAAATAAATATTAAATATTTTATACATAAATATACATATAGAGCTCTTACAAAGACACCTAGAGCGGTCTTGGCTTAGTGTGATGTTTCAAATGACAACAACAATACATAGAAATTATTTGTCTTGGTGCTTTGTAGTCTGAACAGTATTTTAATTGTTTTTTTAAATGGGAGTGATATCTCCATAGAAGCCCTATACATATATGTATGTATGCCCATATTTATATATATATTCAAAGAAATACAAGTGTGCACTGATGTAGGTTTATTCAGTGCAAACAGGCCACTGTCTGCTTTTGAAGAGGATCTCTTACAAAGTCAATGGAATCATGTCAGTTAGTTCAGTTGAATCTTTAGCTATTTTTTTTCTCTTACACGTAAAATAATAGATTTATTTTGTAATCTTTAAGCAAAATTAGACATATATAACTTTGAAAATAACAAAAGTGCTATTTCGCAAAGACAGACACCCAGAGACGCAGCAGAAACACTACTGGTGGTGAACCAAAATCAACAACATGAGAAAGTACTCAGCCCCCACCCCCCCAACCCCCCCGAAAAACCACATTATACAACCTACAAACAAAAAAAACAGGTGCACGGACACACACACACACACACACACACACATTCTTTCACACACTCTCTCACTCGCACACATACAGACTCTTTCACTCACCACTCTTGCTTTTGCAAGTTCCGACAATGTGTCTCTTCCTTTAACTCAGCCTCTTAACCACGCTTGCACGCAAGAAACGATAGATCATTTTCACATGCACACAAACACACAGGTGCTCTAAGCAGCATGTGTACGTGCACACTTCGTGGAGATAATATCAGATAGCTTAACAGATAAATTGGCTGTAAAAGATGCACTTTTTTCTTAACAAAACAATCACAGTAACATAGTATTTATCTCTGCCTTCTCATCTTCCGGCAAGAGCTGTCCCAGACAAATTATTTCTATACGAGATAAAAAAAGATAACACCATTTGTGTGGTTGTTGTGTTGGTACGCAACGAAAAGAAAAAATGAGTTGCCCAAAATGGGTTTAAAATCTCTACATCTGCATATCCTCTAGGTTCCCATCCTGGGTTCAGTCTCTCATCTTTGAGTCTCATCGGCTTGTAACACACTCCACTTGGAATAGTCTCAGGGAATAGAAATAAAGACAAAAAAGAACAAGCTTTGTAAGGCATTGAAACGTAAAACAAAACAAAGAAGCAATTAAAAACATTTTGCGAATATTGACGTAGAGGCCATTGTTCGAGATGTGTCTCCCGCAGGAGGAAGGGATGGGAAATAAAAAGCACTTCTCTTTGTTTTTGTTATGAATTCAAGAAAAAAAGTGTTGATATCTCCTCAGTCTGCTTAAAAAGGCTTTTAAAATGATTATTTTAGAAAAAAACACTGCAGAAAGACCCCCTCCCCCGATCAGGAGAAGGGAAGCAGTTTGATTTTGGCAGCTCTGCACAACTTGACATCCATAGAGAGCTCTCAGCAACTCTCCTCGTAGTAAAAGTCTAGTTAAATCTCTTCACGTTTTAATCCGACTCATGCCCTTCCCCTCCCCTCCCCCTCGCAGCCCTCCCCCTCCCTGTGATATTTATAAAACACAATCCTCTCCTCCGTTCGTTCATCCTCCTGCTCCTCCTCCTCCACCACCACTGCCGCCGCCTCCTCCCCCGCCTGCGCTGGCTGCCCCTGGCCTCCTTAAAGCTATACGCGGGTGGTTGAGTGGGAGTGCGGCAGGCCGGTAGAGTTGAAGCCGGTTGTGAAAGTGTTGTAGGGGTGCAGGTTGGGCATGCCCACCAGGGAATTGGGAATCATGGTAATGGTGTTTGGGGTCATGAGGGGAATGTCGTCCGGAGAGCGCCGCAGAGTGAGCGTGTAGTCGGGCAGCGAGGCCAAGCGCAGTGCCCCCTCGTTGCTGTTCCCCGCCTCACACTCATGGTGCGTCTGGTTCATCTGCAACGACATGATCTCCTCCTCCGGCGCGTGGTGGCCAATGTCGTTGGAGGTGGTCTGGCGCTGCGGGCTGGGCTGCCCATGGCCGGAGTCCTGCCGCCGCTTGTCCTTGCGGTAGTAGAGGGCTGCGAAAGCCAGCACATTGAGGAACAGCAGTGAGGCTCCCACAGCAATAGTGACACTCAACTCCGTGGAGTAATCCCGCGGGTTCTCCACCACCAGTGGCCCCGTCTCCTCGTCGTCGTTCCAAGAGTCTTTGTCCTCACTGTTGTAGGCCGGAGACATGGGAGGCCGCTTGGTGTTGAATGGCCATGAGGTTTTTCCGTTGGGCCTCTTGGTGGACAAGGTGTTCTGGGTGGTCTCTGGCGGGGGCACTTTGGTGGTGGTGGAGGTGTAGTGGAACATGTCATGGAGGTTGTATAGGTGGGGCACTAGGTGTTTCCAGAAGGCCACTTTGGTGGCGCGGTAGTGGTCACGCACACGTGGCTTCAGGCCGATATGCAGGTAGAGCTGGTCCTGGGGGTTGTACTTGGACCAGGCTACCTCTTCAAAACGGTTGGCCTTGGTGTGGATGAACTTGGTGTCTTGGGGAACCGGTTTGTTGGGATCGCTACAGACAGAGAAGAAACAGATGTGAGTGTTTAATGAGATTCTGACAGTACATTTAATTATTCATGCTCTCACATTCATGTGGGAATAGGAAGCACATATAAACACTAAAAACAAAACATAACTGTATCAGTCACAGATTATATTTTGGCGTGAAAGGGTTTTAGCCACTACTGGAGAATTCATTAATCTTGCTTGGCAATACCCACAACAGCAAAAGTACAAACCCACAGCAGCAACCAACTGACTGCAGTTAATAATTGATCCAGGTGTGTATGGTGTGGTATGTATTGCTTTCTGTAGCTGCATTGACTAGCACTGATATCTACTATCAATTTATTTTCCCAATCCACTTCCATTTTTATTTGTACCACAAGATCTCCATGCAGCATGACCCCCTCCCTCTCCGCTGTCAGCCACCTCTCTGTGGGCCTGTCTGTCTCTCCTTTCTCCCCAGATGTTGTTCTTATTTCAGTTCTGATGCAGCCCACCCACAAAAACCAGGGCAGAGGCTTTTAAAGTAAACACATATGAATAAGTCAGCAGGCTTTAGGGCTCGCGTCAGGAGGCATCTTGTTGTTGATAATCCAACGCTGGTGGAGCCCCTCTGCTAATTGCTCTGGGAAGGCAGCACAGTGTGCATTGGCATCCAGTGTACTGATGTAAAGTGGACCATATTAATCAAGACACTAAGAGGAAACTGCAGAGCCACACGTGTGTGTGTGCTTGCATATAAAGATGTTTGTGTGTGTGAGAATGAAAGCG